ATTGACCCCTTTATTATTCTGTAATTCTCTCCTTAATTTATGATAACTTGTGAAACTTTGAAATAAGCTCTATTTGAAATTAATATAGCTACTTTTGCTTTCCTCTGACTATTAGCGTCATATATTTTTCCCTATCTATTTATTTTTAATGATTACATCTTTATATTTAGAGTGAGTTTCTTTTAGAAAACATATAGTTGGATGTTATTTTCTGATCAACTCTGACAATCATTGTCTTATAATTGATGCATTTAGACCATTGACATTCAAAGGGATTATTGATATAGTTGAATTAATATCTATAATATTCATCAATGTTTTTGTTGCTCTTATTCCTTGTTCCAATTTTTGTCTTCCACTCTTTTTCTGCCATTTTTTATTTTAATTGAGCATTTTTTGTGATTCACTTTCTCTTCTTTCTTAGCATATCAGTTGTACCTTTTTTCAGTTTTTTAATGGTTTTCCTATAATTTGCAATATATATTTATAACTAATCCAAGCTCACTTTCAAATAACACTATACCACTTCACAGAGAGTATTAGTACCTTATAATAACGAAACGATTCTAATTTCTTCCTCCCATTTTTTGTATCATTGCTGTCATTAATTTCATTTTATGTAAACATATATAAAAAAACATACATAATATACATAAGCATACATAATTGAATACATTGTTGTTACTGTTATCTGTTAGATCAATTACAGCAAAAAAAAGAAATGTTTTACTTTTACTTTTACTTATTTATTCTTTATGTTCTTCCCTTTTTTGTGTAAATCTGAGTTGCTCATCTATATTATTCTCGTTTTCACTGAAGAACTTCTTTTAATTTTTCTTGCAGGCAGGTCTATTGACAACAAATTTTCTCAGTATTTGTTTTTCTGAGAAATCCTTATTTTTTCTTCACTTTTGAAGAGTAATTTCACAGGGTACAGAATTCTGGGTTGGACATTTATTTCTCTTACACTTTAAGTATTTCACTTCACTCTCTTCTTGCTTGCATGGTTTCTGAGAAGTTAGATGTAATTCTTATCCGTGTTCCTCTATAGGTAAGTTTTATTTTCTCTAGTTTCTCTCAGGGTTTTTTTTTTTAATTTGATTTTTTGCCGTTTTAAGAGGTTATACCTTACTGTACTTCTTTGGGAATTTATCCTAGTTGGTATTGTCTGAGTTTCCTGGAGCTTTAATTTGGTATCAGACATTAATTTGAGGAAATTCTCAGTTATTATTGTTTGAAATATTTCTTCTCTTCTTTTGTCTCTTTCTAGTATTCCTATTACACATATGTTATATCTTTCATAGTTTTCTCACAGTCCTTGAATATTCCATTATATATATATAATAATGAATATATATATTCAGTCTTTGTTCTATTTGCTTTTCAGTTCTCAAAAATTCTATTTCTATATCCTTTAGCTCAAGGATTCTCCTCTGTCATGTCCAGTCTACAAATAAACCCATCAAAGGCATTCTTCATTTCTATTACAGTGTTTTTGCTCTCTAACATTTTTTAAATTCTTTCTTAGGATTTTCATCTCTCTGTTTGCATTAGTCATCTGTTCTTGCATGTTGTCTACTTTATCCATTAGAACCATTTGCATATTAATGATAGTTTTTTTAAATTCCTGGTCTGATAATTCCAGCATTCTTGCTATGTCTGGTTCTAATGCTTACTCTTTTGCTTACTCTTTTTTATTTTTTAATTGCAGGGGACTTTTTGTTTGTTTGTTTGTTTTTTGCATTTTGATATGCCTTGTAATCTTCCTCAAAAGCCAAATATGATGTACTGGGAAAAAGGAACTTCTAAAAGTAGGTCTTTAATAATCATATTACTAAAGATGATAGTGAGGTGTTGGGGGAGGGAAGACTTTCTATAATCTGATGATGAGGTCTGTTTTTTAGTGAGACAATGTTTCTGAATTATGAACTTTACAAGAGTTTCTCAGTTTTTTGTTTTTTTGTTTTTTTTTCTTCACCTTAGGTAGTACTGGATGGCTATTACGGATGCAGTTGGGTATTTTTCTTCCCCAGGTCACTTAGACTTTGATAAACTCTGGTAGATGAGACTCTCTAGTTAACTAGTTTCCTTTGAGGGAAGGTCATGCTAAGAAGTATTGGGCTATTTCAAAATGGTTCTTTTCCCCTTTCCCCTGTTGGCCGCAACAGGGGTATTTTCTCCAATATTTACTGTGGGCATCTGGTCAAGCTCCTAGAGGAGATGAATCTCAAAATAATATGCCCTCCAACCCCTCCCATTCCCACTTTGACTGGATTTCCCTGGAGTTTTTAACTCTCACACTTGTACTTGTTAAATATCCAGCAATTCATTAATTACAGTTCAGTTTTTCCTTCCCAGGTACTAGTTCTTGAGTGTTTTCAACTCCTGAGTCTCTAGTCTGGTAAGCTGAGGCTTCCTGTATTTGCCTGCCTATCTCCCCAACCTTGGGGTCAGCAGTTGTGCTATGTCTGCCCTTTTCTTAAGGATCAAAGAAGAGCTGTTGATTTTTCAGTCTGGTCAGCTTTCTGTTTGTTAGGATAGCGTTGTGACTTCTGAAGCTCTTTATATGTACAACTTGAAAACACAGGTCCTGTCGTTATTTTATTTTTTTTTTTTACAAAATTGGAACCTAGTAAATTAACAATTTCGTAGCCTGGATTTTCTAAGTTATTGAATAAACTTGTTTCTTGTTAAATATTCTTTGAAGGACTTTTTATTGGCAACAAAATCTTTTATAACATTACATTTTTATCTGGTTCCTTATTGCTTAGACTGCTTCTAATTTTCTGCATTATAAACTGTGCTTCTCTGAACATTCATAGAGATAAATCATTTTGTACATCCATGATTATGTCCTCAGGGTAAATAAAATAGCTCTTCTTAATTTAAGACCACAGAGAAATTACAGAAAATATCCTAGATACCTCCAAGGCAGAATAATTTACACCTCATTCTTTCAAGGTGTATCAAATAAAACAATTTTCTTTATTCTTTCATCAATTCACAAAATAATTGAGCCAGTTCTATAAAACCTTTTATTATTTTGATTTGTGTGTGTGTGCACGCACATGTGTGTGTGTGAGAGAGAGAGAGCGTGCAAGACAGAGACAGAGAGAAGTAAAAGCTGTTTTTTATTTCATTTCAAGTAAGACTGGTACTAGGAGAAATCCGGAAATCCCTGGTGCTTTTATTCTTTTATTCTGCAAGTTTCATAAGTCAGGAAAAAAGCCATTCTCCTTAGATGTGGCATGGGGACAGCTGCTCTCTAGAGGACGCTTCACTTGTTACTCTGCTTTCTTGATAGAATTACCTATGAAAGTGGTAACTCCGCTTTTTAAAAAAATACAATGAGACCAAAATTGTAGCTACTTTCATCTATATTGCCTTTGGCTCTTCTTTTTATCCTGTCAATGTCCTTTAGCCAAAGACCACTAGGAACACACCTGCATTTGAACTAGTTCGATTTTTTCTATTGGCAGTTAATAGGGGGCACACCATGGAGACTGTAGGGTATCTCAGTAAAAGGGTAATAGAAAAGATTTATTGTAGTTTTTAGGCCTGTGTTAAGTGATTTGAGGGAGGGTTCAAGAAAGCATGGCAGTCAAATGCTTATGTAAGAAAGCAGGTGTAATTTTATGATTTGGTACATTCATGACTCTTATTAAGAAATAGGGTGGCCAACTATTCCAGTATGCTTGAGACTGAGGGGGTTCCTGGGACATAGCGTTTTCAGTGCCTAAACCAGAAAATCTCAGGCAGACAGAGTGGAGTCGGTCACCTGATCATTAGAAGGCAAGAGCAATGAAAAGAAGCTAAGGCTGGAATTGGTGAAGAGACAACATCACTCATAGGAGCCATGATTCAAGATATTGGTCATTTTTGTGTTTTGGTCAATGTTCATGTTTTTGTCTGGATTAAGATGTAATTACAAAGTGTTCTCACTTGATCCATCATGGTGACAGAGTGGGCTTGTCTGGTGTTGATGTTCTGTGAAATTGTCCATGTTCACTGGGAGAACACTGAGGTGGAGCTGTAAGCTCCAGGCAAGCTCTTAGCAACACCACGGCCTTCACATAGTGTCTGGACAGATTCTGGCTGTCAGAGGCTTCATTTTTTTCCCCAGTCCCTTTCTTTGGGAATTTGAGGAATACTATTGGGGTTGGCCTAAAAGTTTACAGATGTGATGTAGTTGTGAAAAACTTGGTTTCAGCCACATTGTTTTTGTGCCCTAATGAAATGCGTTGGGCTTTGAAACATTGAGTAATATATATATTATCTCTCAATACATTCTTTTTTTCAATACAAAAAAAAAAGTTTGAATGATTGAGATCAAAGCTAAGTTATTAAACGTTAAAATTGAAAAAAAATTAAATACTATTTCTCTTTCTTTGAGATTCAAAACTCTCACATTTCAGTGTTTTTTAGCACTGCTATAAAGAAACCAAATTTATTTGACATGTAGTATTTTTTTCATACAACTCGCTAACATTTTGATGAACACTGATATTCCGGTATTAAACTAGCATTTTGTAGAAATACTAGTTTATTTAGTGATATCTCCTAATTAAGCTTTTTATTTTAAAAACTAGAAGTATATGTAAAGGGTAAGCAGTTGTTCTGATTTAAAATATTCCAATTTAAAGTAAAATAAATTTTTCTTAACTGTCATTGAAATGAGATAGTTACATGTTTTTCAGATTTACTGTTTTAATAGTAAGAGAAAATATTGAATAGTGGTTGCATTTTTAGGGGCAAAAACATTTAACTAGTTGATGAACATATTATATAGTTGCTTTAGTTTAGTCACTAAGGTTATAACAGTAAATTGTGAAGCATTTTTGTAATTGTTAACATTGGTTCAATTATTTCAGCTAACTTAAACTCAGTTCAGTTGTCTTACATATTAATTAAATCGATTATTCAGCATTTAGTCTTTATAACAATGGAAGCAACACTATGGTTTTAGCATATAATAATCTACATTCATGAACTTTCTCTAGGTTCTAAGGACTACCTTGAGTTCAATATTTCAACAGACCAAAGAGTGGAACATTCTGGAGAAGTAAGCGAGAGAAACAAAATTGAAGAATCAGAAGCTTCAAAAAGCACCATGCCACTAGCAATGGTGCTACCTGCTGAAATTCCATGTGAGGTCAGTAAAGATGCCTTGTTATTTAAGTGGCCCTATTGTTTTAATGAACATTGAATTTTATTTAAATATATTATCTGCATTCATGAACTTTTACATTCAGTAGAATGTGAACTACAACATAACTGGCATTTTTTGTCTACTTTGTTCAGGGCTGTGTCCTCAGAATCCAAAACAATGTGTGACAATTAGTAGGTATTTGATGCATAATTGTTTAATAATTAGCTATTGAAGAATATATGAAAGCTTGATTTTATCAACTGTTACCTGATGCATTGCAAACAGATTTGCGATTGCTATATATATCAAGCTACTTAAAAGAAAGTTGGATTCATATTAATCTGATTAAAGATTTTATTTTCATAAAGGGAAACATATCCTTTAATAGAATTTGAAAATGCTTATTTTCAGGACCACCAACTGGAATGAACAACTAAAATAAGCCTCCTGGTAGAGCTTGCCCTGAATCTCGGGCTATGTAACCTCCAGACAACAAATGAATGCTGGCTCTCAGTGTCTGTGATGTCTTTTTTTTAGCATTGTATTTTATTTTATTATTAGTTTCAAGTATGTAGTACATTGGTTAGACATTTATATAGTTTATGTAGTTTATAAAACGATCCCTTAGTTATTCTATTACTCCTTTGGCTCTACACACAGCCATTACATTACTGCTGACTTCATTCGCTCTGCCATGCTCCAATCACCATGACCTATCAACTACTAATTTGTACTTCTTTAAACTTTCATTACTTTCACCCAGCCCTCCAACCCCTCTCCCCTCTGGCCATCACCAGATTGTCCTCTATATATGTGAGTCTGTGATGTCATTGAGTGGGAGGAGTCAAAGATACAGGAGAGGCTTGGGAGTTAGAGTGCAACCTTCTTTCTGGTAAAGCCAATAGATTTATAAGACTGGATGACAGGGGCTGCATTGTCTGCTTGTTCTGGGAAAGACTCTCCTGTTGTTGCTGGTACCAGCAGTCCTGGGGGAAGCTGCACATTCTGTGCAATTGGGCAATGTTTAATTCCCTCACCCCCAGACTCCATCTAAGCAGAAGAATCACTGTTTTAAACTATTATGCTATCAGTTCCAGGGGAACATAAACTTCTCTGACACTACCTTAGAGACCCCAGGAACCTGAACCATGCAGGTTCGAAGAAACTGACAGATAATCAGGCAAAGAAAACTTCCAACTCACTTAAAGGACTCAAGAACTCAAGGGAGGAAGATCAGGCTAAACAATCAGAATCTGAGGCTTCTATTGAGTCAGAAATAATGGAAGAGACAGATAAATAGAAGAGATTGTAATAAAAGAGAAATGAGAACTGTTCTCAAGTAGGTAAAATCAAAGCAGAAAAAGAAAAAAAAGTCACTTCTGAAACTAAAAATATCTCACCGAGGATTATGCAATGAGTCTAAATAGCTGATTTTCAAAATATCTGTAACAACGAAATTTGAACAATATAAATCTTCCCATTATTAAATTTGCAGAGAAATAAAAATCCAAAAATTAAACCACTGCCCTCCAGGTAGAGATTGCTCCCTCAGATGATGGGTTAGGAGAAGGGTTTTTTCAATGGCAGCATCATGAGCTATCTTTTATTGACATGGACATAATTCTTTCTCTCTGAAGTTAAATGATTTCATTTTTAGATTTCTTTTGGGTACCCTACTTTTTAAGCAATCCTAAGAGTTGAAAGGTCATATAAGAATATTTCAGCACCAGCTCCACACTCTGAAATTTTAAAATGAGCTAATTCTTGGACCAAAAATAGTTATCCTTTCAAAATCTTGTGTTCTCAGAACCTAGATCCTAGTACAACTTAAATCCATATGACAGTTGCTAAGTATCACAGAAAAGATCATTTGTATCAAAGTGAGTGAAAATTATGTTCCAGATTTGCCAGGATAACATTCAGTCTATGCCAGTTTTCTGAAAGCACAGGCTTTGAACTTACTCATTTCTAAGAAGTCTTCCAATGGAAGAATGCCTTCCAGGTATAATTTTCATCATGGATATAAAATTGTATAAGATTCATTTGAATAATAGATGTATTTGGCAGACTTGAAACTCATTGACTTCATAGTGGGTTAATAAAGACCCCATAAGAATACAGCCTCCTCTCTCTGTAGGTGATATTTGACTTCCTTGCCATCTTACAAAATCTGAAAATTTATAATACTATTACACTACCAGTCTCCAGGTCTTATTTGAAATATGCCTCTTTTTCACCCTGTGTCAAAATCTATTAATTTCCCCCTTGGAGTTTTGTGTTTCCAGCATGCTAGCACTGAGCTGACTATGAGTTTGATCTAGTAGCATAATCTTCATCTCTCTGATGATCAGGGAGTTAGTTTAAATCTGTCCTGCTGCTGCCTCTTGCTGTGAAGTTGCTTGGGTCTGGAGGACCTGCCTCCTGTGGATGTGCTCTCCCTGTTTTCTCATCTAGTTTGGAGAATCAGCTTTAGCACATTTTTTTAACTAGGCAGCAGGTGATGCTGCTCCTGCTTTTGAACCCAGAAGCCTGGAATATTGCTTCTTCTGCCTCACCATCTTTCCCAGCACTGTTCCTTTCCATGGATTTTTAAAAAATTTTCTGGGCCTTGAAAATCTTGTTACTTTAAAAACAGAAGAAAATGTTTTATCTTTAACTTTTTTTTCCCATGCACTGATGAAGGTATGCCTCCAGTCCTCTATGTAGGTATATTATTCTGTCTCTTTGAGAAATATCTACAAGAGTTTAAACAGGTTAAATCTGCTACTTAATTTGGCCTCTTCTTTTACCTTTTCTAGCAATAGCATTCTTTGTTCTATTTTGGCATTTTTAAATCTTTTTTTATGGGCCAAGGCATTTGTTTTTCCAGTATATTACTCTGGATTTTGTCTTGTGGGATAATTGATTATGAGAGATATGGAGTCAGTGAGTTCTAAATCTGCCAGATGCATCCATTATTCAAATGAATCTTATTCAATTTTATAACCATGATGAAAATTCCACCTGGAAGGCATATTCTCATAGGAATAAATATCTAAATAGACCAGAACTAGACCTGCTCTGTTATTTACTAGCTTTTCTTCCCTGTGCTGTGTATTACTCCAAAGTCCTAATTTCATTGATTTCTGGGACAAACCCCTTCAGAGCAGTGGTTCTCATCTGGAGTTATTTCCCCCCTTTTCCCAGGGGATATTTGGCAAAGTGTGCAGTCCTGATTGTCATAACTGGGGGACTGCTACTGGCATCTAGTGGGTAGAACATCTTATGCTAAACATCTTACGATGCTCAAGGTAGTCTCGACAGCAGCTGGTCCAAAAATGTCAAAAGTGCCAAGATTAAATCCTGTCTCAGAGGATAGGAAATACATTCATGCCCCTTACAGTAATAAATAACCGAATCACCTAATAATGACATCAAAAGTTCAGTGCTCCCCTTTAAAGACCTCTCTGCAATCCACCCAGTGGTTCTATAATCACTTGCTAAAGCTGCGTAATGTGTAAACAGTGATTCCAGTCATTCTTTTTATGGATTTTACCTGAAGTTTTAAGAGGGAGCCTCTAAAAGTTATCTTCAAAACTCCTGCCTCTCTTGCTATTTCTGTGAGCCCCTGTCACAGGTTCAGTAATGACTTCTATATTTCTTCTTCAGTAGCGCCATCCTAAAAAGCAGTTAAGAGTGAGCTTATTTTCTTTATCTTGCTTTATCTGTGTTGGCAGACCTTCAATTCATCATTTCCTTTCCCTTTGGTAGAATCTAGTCACTACAATCTCAGCTTTTCTTACCCCCAAATCTCTTACTTCTTTTAATATAACAAATATTCCTTTATTTTTATGGTATTCTCCCAGTGCCCCTGTTCTGATGATAAGCATATTTTAAAAACCAGTCAGGTCACTTGTTGATTTCTTGAGCAAATTTAATTCTTAAAGTTATGGTATAACCACTAAAGGCCTGTTAAGTGGCTGTATCAGCATTTAGATCTATATTAATTTTATTTCATTGTCTTTTTGTCTGAATCCTAGAATATAGCATATTCCCTAATAAAGACCTTCACTTTTTTTGACCTCATGGTTGACATACCTCTGTGGCTGCAACCTTAGTCTGAGTCTCCAAATCCATAGTACAGATCACAGATTATATAATTAACAAATCTAGTGAAACTCTGAGACTGCATGAATGAGTCTGACTCGTAAGGACCCGTAGGCAAACCACAAGAATCTCAGAGTAAAACAATATACAGAAGCTAACAGCACTGCCCACTTATTTCTGACACCAAATCACACACAATTCTTGGTAATCATCCTTAACCTAGGGCCTGATCCTATGATTTAATTGAAAAATACAGTGTATTTTGTATCAATGCCAAAAATGCCTATGTTGTAAAGTGCTGCCCCTTTGGTGGTAAGGTTTTGCAACAACCAACAGATATATTTTCTCTTTAACCAAGCGGTTCTCAAACTAAGATGTATATAGAAACTATTAGTGGAGATTTTTTTTTAAAAATAATAATACCTGAATTCTCTACCATAAAAATGGCCTTGACATTGGGAATTTAAAAATATTCCCAGGTGATTCTGAAAGTGAATCCAAATTAGCAGCCAAATTTGAAACCATTGCCATCATCTAATCCTTGCTTTGCTGTCATGGGTCAGATTTATGACAGTTGTACCAACCTGCACAGTCCTAAGATAATAAGGCCTATGCATCTATGCTTGTTAGGCTAGTGGCTATTAAAGTAGTCATGAATATAGGAAAAGAGCCATTGGTCTGTGTACAAAAGTCACTGTGTATGATAGATAGTAAGCTGATATGATGATCCACTAGGTTCAAAATTCTTTGTTGCCTGTGTTTAATAAATTATTGAAGCTTAAAGACACACACCCAGACAGAACCAGAAACTTTACTATCTATATGTCATATTGTAGACCAAGTTTTAGCTCTTTTGTTTAGATCACAAAATTTTTGACTAATGAAGCAAAACATTAGTTCAGAAGTGATATTTATAGTAACTTTTTCTCTCTTTGAATGCTACAAACTAAATAAGAGATAAACAGAAAAGATTGAGAGCAAAGTAACAGCTTTATAACTGATAAAACTAAATTTATGACCATTTGCGTATCCTTCCATTTTATTCCATGGAATTAAATGTATGCACATAATTGCATCATCAATTAAGATATCCACAATAATTAAATACAGGGCTGGACAAGTGCAGGCCTTCCTTCTTAGAACAAGCCACTTCCTACATGGAGATGCAGGGAACAAATGAAGCCGTAAGTCATGAGAGAGATGAGGAGAAGAGCTGAGCATGCTTAATTTTAACAAGTCATATTTTTATAGACATTCCATCTTAATTTAAAAATATAGACAAATTTCTGTTATGTGCAAAGTTCTTACAAGATGCCACGATGATGTAAAATAAAAATAAAAATAATTTCAGGATATTTAAAATCCAGCTGGGAAGACAAGATATAGACAAGCAACACCAATTAGGAGCAGAGAGCAAAGGAGTGTAGCTGTGAAACGCTCTGTGATTTCTTTGGAAGTTGTAAAACCCCTTATGGGATAAAGTTGTAGGAAGGATTTGTGGAGCTGGTGAAACCTGTGTTGGACCTTGATGGAGAGGATAAGTAAGGGGAGATGGAAGGAGAGGAACTAAATGGCATGCCAACTCTAGGTACAAAAAGGATGGCTACCTAATCAGCAGGCCCCAGTATAAAATGAAAATACAGGCAGTCTTGTTCAAATTATTAAGCACTATAGGACAGTGACAGCAGAACATTAAAACAAGTACAGGGCTCTTCTAAGCACATGGCCCTGTGCAGTACACAGGTTACCTGCCCATGAAGCTGGCCCTGGGTACAAATGAACATGTAAATGCCTCATTGGGGGTATGCTTGTCTTTTATTTAGAACTTTTCTCTAGAAACAGTTGAAAAGTGGATCTATGCCTTCTAATAGCGAGGGAACTGTTGCATGAGAATCATCCTGGGTGAACATTCATGAGTGAGAATGAGTTGACTGGGTGAATAAAACATTGGAGAGGATGCTTAGGCTTACTGTTTGGAGGGGGAGAGGTTACAGTTAAGTTATTATGCTTGTCTTTTATTTGGAACTTTTCTCTAGAAACAGTTGAAAAGTGGATCTATGCCTTCTAATAGCGAGGGAACTGTTGCATGAGAATCATTCTGGGTGAACATTCATGAGTGAGAATGAGTTGACTGGGTGAATAAAACATTGGAGAGGATGCTTAGGCTTACTGTTTGGAGGGGGAGAGGTTACAGTTAAACAAGAAGTTATGTTCCCATAGAAGAGACTCTGAAGAATTTTGAAGCAGAGGATTAGGGATCTGAGTTGAAGTGAGATAGGAAGTCATTAAAGATTTGAAATAAAGTGACAGATATGAGAAACAAAGGAACTAAAGAACTGTGCTAGAAGTGAGGTCCAGTGAAGAGGAGGTTGTAGCTATGAGGAACTGAAGGAGCTCACGGTCCTGACCTTCAGAACGCAGATGAAGCAGTGTATTGGGCAAGGTACAGGAAAGGAAATAAGAAAGTCTTTATGACATGTTGGATGTGTGTGGCAAGAGCGAAAAGAGGAATAGTGCCAGTGCCCTTGCGATGGGATCTTTTCTCAATGTACAATTTAATTGGTGAGGAAAAGTTTAGAGCAAAATACCCTATGGACAAATATTTGAAAGCTCTGGATTCTGGTGGAAAACTCCCAAAAGTGAATGTGTGTCAGATTAAATGATTTTGTAACATTAATATATTTGTAGAAACTCTTTGGTACAGAGCATTAAATATGTAAGCTTTATTGGTGAGTGATTTTTGCTTAGGGAGATAATATTTAAATAAGAGATCTTTGAAATTCATGACTTTTGGGTAATCATGATTTCACAAGAGCGTAAAATGAGGTTCCTGTTTATTTTGTGAGGGTCTGAAATTAGTTTGACTTTGAAGAAAGCCTTTGAAAGGTGATACAGTATAATCATAAAATTAGTATTATGTTTTAGTTATTTTGAAAGGTGAACAACATGATGTGAAAAAGAGTGCAGATTTTGAATTTAGGTAGTAATGATTCGTATTTAGATATAACTCTATATTTCAGTTACCCTGTTCATAGATGAGAAAATAATAGTCTTTCATTTTGGTTTTGGTATATGCGTTTGCATGCGTGTTTGTGTATGTGTGTGTGTGCGTGTGTGTTAGTTAGGATTAAAGAAACTAGATATAAAAAGTGTTTAGAATAAATTTTGGTATAAAATAGATAATAAATATTTATTCCTTTCCTATGTATTAAATTCAATCTTGTTATCCCTAATTTAAAAAGTTCCAAATGGTTTTCAATAATCTTTAAACCTTATGTACATAGATTTAGCTTTTCTACCTTAAAAAAATCTTGAAAGTTTTAGATTTATAACATTTAGTCAACTCAATAAACTTGAGTTACTCATCATAAATAGAGTAACTATAGAATATCTATTAAGTAAGATTTAAAACTATTGGACTTTTAAAAAATGTCATCGTATTTAAATATTAAGAGATCTTAAAGTTAAACCTGTTCAGGTCTTTCATTTATAGATTAATACACCAAGTTCTAAAAAGATAGAGGAAAAGGAATTTTTAAAAAAAGGATTTGGTTAGCAATGAATTACAGTTTCCTGGGGGTCTGTGAAGTGATGCTCATTACCATGAATTAGGAAGCCACACACAGGGAAGAGGCAAGTTGAAAAGGGGGCAGCTATGTCCTCACTATTTGTTCAGTTGTAAAATAAGATATTGGGGAAGAAAACTGAGTACTCAACAGACACCAATAATTGTGTGCAAGTTGATAAGCTCAAAATATAGTGAGAATCACATTTACGTGTTTCATTTCTAAATACGGTTGAAAATACAGACATGACAGTAGACATATAATAATTGTGTGCAACCTTATCATTAATAAATGTAATGGTGATTTGATTAATGTAAACTTTTTCAAATACTTAATTGGATTATATTTTTCATCTTATAGAATCCTGGTGAAATATTTATTATTTTGAGAGATGAAGTAATTGGTGATACTGTGGAGGTTGAATTTACATCAAATAATAAATGTATTAGAATACAGCCAGCCCTTTGGAATAAGACAGTGTGGTGTATGAAAGCTTTAGGTAAGAAATGTTTTATGCTTTAATAACTATAAAAAATCTTCCTGAGTTTCTTTCAATACATTTATGCTAAATGGTTTCACTTCCCTACAGAAACTAATATCGTTCTGCAGGTGTTTCCTGTGTTTAGTTCTCACATACTGAGGTTGTTATTATTAATCTGGATTCGCAAAGTATGATGTGTAAACTACGAGAAATTAGCTTGTGTACTATATGGTGGAACAACAGCCAGTAACATCTCATGTTTTTATACATGTCAGCAGAGAGCACTTTAATATATGTCAGCTATTAAATATGGAACTAAAATTATTAATTTTATTGTAATAGGATTAGCAGATATTTGGTTTTTTATTAATGGATTTTGAACTCTCTCTCTCTCTCTCTCTGTTTATGTTCCTGAGTATATTTTTGGTTATTCTGGAAAGCATAAATATTTCTCACTATTTTATCATCATGGTGCCATTTCTATATATATTCTTTCCCTCTTTTCCTTATGTAATTTATAAAGCTAGCCATTTCATTACCCAACTTTGCTTGCAGTGTGATAAACTTTATCAGATTAATTCCAGATAGAATATCCACACACTTGCCACAATAATTGTACAAAAATCAAAATATAATATATTAATTTCTGAATATTTTGATATAGATGTAGGAATACTTGATTTTTGAATTTATGATATCTTTTTATAATCGGAGAACAAAGTTATCTTATAAAAGTTTGTAAATGCAAACTTCATAGAATATTTTAAAATAAAAGATGGGCAGTCTTAAATTTGGAAATATAGTAAAAATATTTAAAATTAAAGAGTATGTCAAATACATCTTAGGCCTTTTTCTCCCTTTTAGAATGTAGCTATTATGGAGTAAGTCTGTTTACAGAGCATCTATGCACCTTTTTTATTGTGTTAGGCAAATCACGTGTCCCCTCTATGGATGTCCTTGCACAGCTGAGGTCAGAGTTGGATTATAGGAAGGAAAGACTCCACACAAAGCACTTATAAATGATTTTATACATCGATTCCTGTCATAGACTAGCATATGCAGATGTGAGATGAGAAAGATCTTTCTCTGTTTCTTTTCTTTCTCTCGCAAAGCCCCTTACTTCCTTGTGCTGCATTTTAAAATGATTTCATGAATAATAATTTCTAACTGATTGGTTTTGGAGTTTAAACTAAATCTAGTTAAGTAAAATCACTACAGCAAAATCAACTTTGAAGATTAAGAAGTACTTAGATAACATTTCTCAAATAGCAAAACAAAATGTGAAATACAATTATTCACATTATGATTTGATGGTCAATTTACCAAGTAGCTAAGAGCAGTGCAAAGAATAAAATATGTCAAAGTTCAAATGTTTTTCAGGAAAGCAGAAAACTAGTATTCCATATTTTCCAGTATATACCAGACCATAATACTATCTACGTGGTTGAACAGCAAATTTGTAGTAAAAAAATAAAATAAAATTAAAAATCACTACTTACCAGTTATTCTAATTGAACCTCTCCAAGTTATTCTTTCAACTGGTGTGTTCTGTAAATTGATGAGAGATTTTCTTATGAAATGTCTGTTATGTGTGAAGATGGGTCTATGAAAATACATAGGAATATAAAGGGGACATGCCTCAGAAGAAATGGCCCCAGAGTCTTATTTTCCTTGCCTCATGGCACTGTTTCTTGAAATCTTTTGAGGCCTAGCAAGAACTACATTTTAGGTCATGACCCAGTACATATGCATAAATACATATTTAAAACAAAGGTTTTTAAATCAATAGTTAGACTAATAGTTTTAGCCCTGACATGTAAAAAGCTTGGCTTTTGTCACTCCCATTCTTACAATAAGAAAAAGATGAACATACTGAAAATCAGTGACTTTTCTTCAACTCATCGGAGAACTAAGCTTGCAGAGCAAACCACCATCTCAAAACCTGGAATGAAAGGTAAATCATCAGAGTGCCTTCCAAGAGCTGCTTACCTGGAGCAGAAGTCTCTAGAGCCAGAAACTGCTGGGAATATTTAAATGACACTTTTTTTTTTCTAATTTATTTAAATTTTTATTTTTTATTTTTTTATTTTTTAATTTTTAATTAAGTTTATAAGGGTAACATTGGTTAATACAATTACATAACTTTCAGGGTACATTATCATTTGATATCTGTATATTCTACTGTGTGTTTACCACCCAAAGTCCAGTTTCCTTTAGCTACCATATATTTGACCCCCTTTACCCACTTCACCCTCCCCCTAAACCCTATATCTGACCCCTTTGCCCCATCTACCTTCCCCTTCCTCCCCAGCCCCACTAGTAACCACTTGTATATAGTCCTCTGGTAACCACTAGTCTATATTCCATGCCCATGGGTCTCTATTTGTTTGTCCTGCTGATTTGTTTTGCTTTTAGGTTTATATCCCACATATAAGTGATATTATGGGATTTTCAACTTTTTCTGTCTGGCTTATTTCGCTTAGCATGGTTATCTCAAGGTCCATCCATGTTATCGCAAATGGCGGTATTTCATCTCTTCTTATGGCTAAGTAATATTCCACTGTATATATGTACCACATATAGTGGGGAGGGGAAAATTCTACCACAGCAGAAGCATTTGTGAAGTCCACAGCCAAGAGACGCAGGCTCATTAGGAGACTGAAACTTAATCACAAGATTAGATGGCTTCTCTTCCCACAAGCCTGACCACAGAGTTTAGTATAATGGCAGTGCATTACAGTTGCACGTATTGCAAAATGCAGAATCTTTCTGAAGAGAAGTGCTTAGGGAAGCACGAGGTCAAGAGGGAAGGCAAAAACAAGGACAAAAGAGGAACTTAAAGCTTCTGGTACCAATAGTTACAGCAAACATTAAACACAGCCCAACTCCTAGCTAGATTACTATAAATTCTCACCACATGCCTACTTCAGTTCTTATATCTGACATGCTGTGTCTGGTTTTCAACAAGAAATTACAAGTCATGCCAAAAGCCAAGAAAAAAACATAGTCTAAAGAGATAAAGCAAACATTGGATTAGATTTAAATGTGACACAGATGTTGGAATAATCAGACAAGGAATTTGAAATAACTATGATTAATATGTTAAGAGCTATAATGGAAAAGTAGACAACATGTAAGAACATATGGGTAATCTAAGCAGAGAGAGAGAAAAATTCTATTTCCTTTCTTTTTTTTTAATGCTAGCCAAAACCTACTAAATTCATATCATGATGTACTAGCAAGTCACAGACTGCAGCTAGAGAAAGTATTCTTTATTGCTGCACTGGCCTTTATTGTAGCCACTGGCCAAATCTGGTTATTAAAACTTTAATTTATTATAATTAAACAAAATTTAAAATTCAGTTCTTCAGTTGCTGTAACCATAGTTCAAGTGATTTATTAGAACATATCCATCATCTCAGAAAGTTCAATTCAATAGTACTGCCTGTACAATAGACTTCCTTTTTTTCTACATCAATTTTGGAGTAAGTGCCCCGCATGCTCTTAAAGGCTAGTGATCTGTCCAGAATGTGCACATAGCCAAAGAAACACTTAACTAGTGGCCAAGAGAGCTGTTATTCTGTGTGGAGCCATTTACTGGGGAACTTTAGACAAGTCTTTTTGATCATCCTGTGCCTCAATTCTCTTGTTGATAAAATAACTTCTCTATTTACATTCAAGTATTCACTTATAGGATGTTTGGAGACAAGGTATATAACATACAAGACAACACTTAAATAGACATCCAACTGAGGAACAAAGTGTCAATCTCTCCAGCAATTCCCTTAAAATAAGGAGAGGTTTTTCTGGAATAACCCGCCTTCAGCTTCTGGATGGGGTGTGGTAAATCATTTAAAAACTTCCTTCTCTTCCCTTTAGGGAAGAGAATTGAGGGGGATAGATTTAAAAATATTGTATACCTCATATTGCCCCTCTCTTCTACTAGTCTTCTATTTATATTTCTTGATGTAAAAGCCACGAAATTTGTCCCATTTTGCCCCTGGGAAATCATGCTCAGAAGAGCTCCTAATTCTATGTCACCTCATATGTAATCCCTGTACCCACTGGTGGCTTCTAGGGCAAGAAGTGGATTCAGTCAGCATCCCACATCATCTCATAGTAGTCCATACAGACTTAAGTCTTTAAAACACTTATCTGTGCTTTTTGAATACTGTTAAAATGTAGGAATCAAAAACTCAAGTGGGAGCATACCAGGAACCCTTCTCTACTCTCGGAATTCTTTTGAATAATATTGATGCATCAGGTTTAGGAGATCTCCATATGTCCAATCTCTTTTCAGTCTAGAAATATTGCTCACATGACTTGATTTCTGATCATCTGACTAATAAGTTAATCAGTCACATGACTTAAAATTTTGTTTGCTTTCTGTAAGTGTTCTCTTGTGATATATGACCAGAGTTTCCTATACTAAGTCTGGCTGGCATTGAGGACTGGTATGGCAGTTTTACAATATTGCTCAGGACACAGGCGTATTTCTACTCACCTCTCCATAGTTTTTAGTGGCCATATTCATCATGGAGCAAGATGGTTTCTAAGACTTTTGCCATCACACCTATATTCCAAGCAATATGATGAAGCAGTTGTATGCTGGAATAATTTCATACTGGATTGAAAGAGCCAATTCTTCCCTACTTCATATTCAGTGATATCATATTAAACTTCTTGGGCTGTCATAACAAAATATAACAGACTGGATGTCTTAAAAAACAGAAATTTATTTTCTCGGTTCTGGAAGCTCAGAGTCTAAGATCAAGGGGCCTGAAGTTGGTTTTTGGCAAAGCCTCTTTCTTTGGCTTACAGACAGCCACCTTCTTTTTGTCATTTATGGCCTTTTCTTTGTGTGTCTGCACTTGTGTTTTTTCCTCTTCTTATGAGGATGCTAGTCTTATTAGATAAGGGCCCAAGCCTTCTGACCTCATTTAACCTTAATTACCTCCTTAGAAGCCTCATCCCCAAATACAGTAATTAGGATTGGGGCTTCAATATGTGAATTTTGGGGGGACACAATTCAGTACATAACACTTTGGTAGCTTGGAATCAGCCATGGTGGGAGTATTTATGCCACAGAAATTTGCAAAAACTATAAATAGAGGCTTTTTTTCTTTCTAGAGAGGCAGTTTATTGGCACACCACTGGGATAAAGAAATGAAGGCCTCATTAAATAAGAAGGTTTCTGTAAGACACATCTGCTGATGTCTCATTAGTCAGAGCTTAATATGAGATCCTATGTAGCTGAAGGGAAGAATAGGAAATCTAGTGTTTTTAGTTGGATAGAAATGTGCTCAACAAAAAAAAGTCACAGTCTATTTCTAAAAAAAAGAAGACAGACTTTGGGGTAGGCAACTGGCATTTTATGTTGGAGAAGGGGACCTCTAAGACCAACTACTCTAATTCATTCCTTTATTTGAATACCTCTTCCTAATCATTTAAGTGTATGCGTGTGTGTATGTGTCTGTGCATCTGTGTGTGTGTTTAGTCTCTCGACATTGACACATATCAAATACTCTGAGGTCTCCTTACAGTTCTCATAAAGAACTCTCAAATTTCTCTCCAACCAACCAAACTCTGTGTCATATTAATGCTCTTTTAAAATGTATGTTTTTTTTCTAACTTAGTAACAATTCAAAGAAAAACAAAATTATATTAAAGTACAATTATACCAAACAGAGAAGAAACCCTAAGATGCTCTTTTTCTAAATGCTCTTTTTCTTTCCCTTTTGACACACTTCCTGTTTTCTTAACCTGTTTTCTTAATTTGAGAAAATATCTTTTAATTTTGCATTCTCCCTTTTCCTTTCAGCTCAATAAATTGATACACTTATAATTACTTTGTTTTCTAACAATTATACCTTCCTGATGGCATCCACAGGTTTCTCTACAACAGAGACTGTTTTATGCTAAAGGAATTGAAAGTTTCTATAGTCCCAGTTTACAGCAAAACTTGTAAAAATACACATGAAGGCTTTAAACTAGAAAAATTAACTAGTTTTTACTAAAAAGGAAGTGAGTATTCCTCTGGTACCTGCAGCTCAGCCGGAAAAATATTTTACACAGCAGGGGGATGACCAATTAAAAGTTGAAAGGAATGTAAAATGAATCTACCAAGATATAGAATCTCTTTATTAATTAGGAAAATGTGTTCAGAACAATGTAAATTATAACTATATTTTATTAAAAGAGCATGCAAAATACTTTAAGATGTGCCAAATATTATACTGAATCTGCTTTTAACAATAACAATAAGAAATTTTTCTACATATCATAATTCAGGAAGATGATTTTAACATATGCAAAATTGACATTAATTTTAGACATGACCAACGTTTCAGAACTACTGGTATTTATTTAATAATAATGATCTAATCAAAAAAGATTTATGTTAATTTCAGTTCCCATGGAAACAATAGGTGGGTTCACTTTAGGTTTACCATGTGGTAAAGAGCGAAAGGGACACAGCTTCTCAGACAATGAAAATACAGAAAATAAAAAGCTCTTAAATTAATGGATTTTTGAAATATCTTTTTCATGGAATTAGAGAATATAATTCTGACTGTTCAGAAATACCTTTGGATTATATTTCCCACAAATTATTTCAGTCTGTCTCTCATCTGGAAGGAAAGACCTTTTAAATCATGGAAATAGGGAAGGTTGATGAAAGACACTCAAAGAGCCTAGAATTTCAGATTTGAAACAAATACCTTTTTTTTTTTTTTACCATTGCTCCTCTGTAAGTGCGTTTTGTTGTGTATCTATGTCTGATGTAGGCAAGGAGTTCTGCTTTTTTTCTTCCATTGTAAGCTTTTTTTTCTTCTTTATAGCTGACACTCAATACCCTTGCTTGGTTTGGTGATTTTGACCAATGTTCGTGTGTATTTCCAGTGTTAAATGTGACTTGCCTACTTTAGATAATAAATGTCAGAATTCACTTTTCCTCTTCTATTCAAGTCCTTAAAGTAATTGATTTTATTTTTATTGAAGAGCTGTAAAATGTAGACATTATAGTGACCAAAGTTAAAATGCTCAAGCTGCACCGGCTATCATTCACAAAAAGGCCTATTCAGTAATACGTTATTAAGGAGGGATTCCCAAACAGATGACTCCATGAGCAGTCCTCTTTGATATACAGGTGGAAACAGTAATTAGGTTTTAATAACTGACATTCAATACATATACACAGCAAAGACAGTGCTCCAAAAGGCTTCTCTTTGGAAGATTACTCCAAAGTCAATGTCATTAACAATAGGTCTAATGGCAAAGTTTCGAATCGACTAATGACTCAAGATATCAGAAATAAATTAGCTTATTTTCATGTTAGACTCTAAAGGAATTAGAGCATTTTAAGTGTTCTCAATGGAAGAAACAGCAAGCAAATCTCTCCTTTTATCTCTCATGATTCATCGCCTGAATTCTTTTGGAAAGTTAAAACCACATTGTAAAACTCTTAATCTCTTTTCTGATAAACAATATCCTCTTTCAAAATCACCTTTATGAAATCCATGAAATTGATTTCACTTTACTGTAGTAACTTCAGAACCCCCTTTACTATATGTGCATAACTGTAGCTGACGAGACATACCTTACGACTTTCAATTTTTTGTTGTAATTTCTCTTTCATTGTCAGATATCAGATAGATATCTACTTTGGGAAGAGAGAACTTTTCTACCTTTTTTTTTTATAGTACAGATTAAGTGTCTGGTCAGTCGATGTGGTAAGAGGAAATTTCAGCTTCTTGATCCAATTAAGTATAAGATTGCTTTTGTTGGCTTTAAGTTTCTCTAAGTAATATTATAAGAGATCCTTTAACCTCTTCAGGAGGTAAAGTAAAATTAATGCTTAAAAGTTAAGAATGTTTAAATATTCAAAGCTTCATTAGGCAGCTAAGGTTAGAATTGGCTTCTTGATCTTATACTTAAAGGCTTATTCCAAACTCCAGTTGTTTGGGTGACAATCCTCTTTGAGAATTTGGAAAATGTTTCTGTAACAAAGTAAGTTTTTAAAGTGTATTTTGAAAATGAATTTAAAGAGCTAAATTTTCTTTACTTTTGATACAATAAAATACAATGACTTTCCTATTGAAATGACTGAATTTGAAAGAATTGTTTTTCTTTCATGGAGAGCCCAACATTCTTAGTAGACCAACTCTGCTGGTATGTTAGAGCAGAATTCACAAGGCAGTATATCAGTCACTTTAAACAGGTTACTCACAAGAAGATTTTAGATAAATGTGTGGTGTAACCAGTACTTAAATAGCAGGGTATTGAATCTTGCCTTCCCAAGGGTTTTTCATTATAATCAATTGAATAAAAGTTCTATAACTTTAGTCAACTCTACTTTTTCTCTTTCCAAACATGATTTTGATAAAATTGCCTATAATTTACAGAAATTTTCTTCATAAGAATAATAACGAATGTATAATTTTTTTCATAAACAACTTCACTATTCTAAATTCTAAAATATTATGTAAAGATAATTATAGATTATTGTAACAAAATCTCCATTTCCAATCTGGAAGGTTAATAAAAAAGGAAGTTAATGGTTAGGGAGAAAAGACTTAACGCTTTGCTTTCATCATATTTTTATTATGTATTCTTATCTTGTAAGGTTTTTTTTTTATCAAGTCTAAAATTGTGCATTCTATTTTGTGGTTTCTAACTTCTAAGGATAAAAAAGAAAACATTTAAGTGGTAGAAGTTGCTAAAATTGTTATAAATTCTTAATGACCTTCTTCAAGTTCTCTAAGAGATATAATAATGTGAGACATGCATTATATACTCAGCTTCTAACTCCTGTTTGTGTTTCATAAGATTTTCCTGCTGGCTCTGTCAATGTCGATGTCTACTGTGATGGCATCATTAAGGCCACAACTGAGATTAAATACTATACAACAGAAAAGACTATGAAATGCCTGTTGGGATTGGCAGATCCAGGAGATGGTGTATGCCAGGTAAGGGGATCTTTCCATGAAGTTGATAATGCGCTAAAGAGCTAATTTTGAATAAAAGAATGTATGCATGCCTTGGTATAAAGCCTGTATGTTGGTTGAATAAGAATGAATTACTGATCAATAGGAAGGGAAGAAACCGAACTCTGTAGTACAGAGATGCAGATGAATTAGTTTGCTTAAGTCAGACATTCCAGATAATGTCACTGGAAGACAGGTTACCCATTACAAAATAGCTATTTTACTAGGCTCATTTTAAAGCTGTTACACAGCAGATAAAGACGGAAGAATTAAAGAGAAGTCTTGAGAAATTAATTTCCCCTTTATCCAGCTCTGGACAATACAAAATAAAAGTCAGGTCATTTGATGCATCGAGGTTAAGGAATCAGACAAACCAAGAATACCACCAGAAAGAGAACATGTGATGTTAATCTCGAAATTGTTATTTTTCATGTGGAAATGTCCAAACTCAGTGTACGTTTTTCTTAGTTTCATTTATTACTGTTATCTGATAGTGAAAATTCTTGCTTTAAATTAACTATGTTCATTAGGAAATCTAGAAGGCTAAAATTTTCTGGGAAGTATACAGAGGCATTTTTAAGCCCCAGGTTGCTTTCTGAGTGTGACAAACTATTACTCAGCAATGATGATGTGGTGAGGGATTTGTGGTCTTGAAGAGCCCTTGTTTGGGACATTTTCCAGTGGATGTACATGCTGTGAATGTCCTGCCCTCATGGATTTAGAATATAACAATTGCATTTTGATTAATATTATGCCATTAGTTTAATTTCTGCATTTTATTTTATCTGTTACCTGACCCACTTTCACTAGAGAGAAATCTTGCTTGATATGGAACTTTTATTCTTTATGTGCTTATTCCATCAAATTGTCAGAGTGAAATAAATGTCATTTCTTTTTATAGCTACTTGATAATGAGAATTATAACCTTGCTTAATTGCTTATTTTGTGTGGAAGGGGGAGGGAGAGAGTAGGGAGAGTAGAGACAAAAAAAGAGGTAGTTGAATGAACAATGTGATCTTCAAATGCACCGCAAAAAATTCTATAAGAACTTGTAGTAAAAGCAACAATGATAGTAAAGTTGACAGGTTTTTATGAAGCCTTATGTGTTTAAGCTAGTTCGGAATTGGAGGTTTTGTTATTTATTTTGTGTGACACATTTTTCTATTAGAGTTCTGCTTTATGAGTGACATATTTTAGAACAATGGAAAAGGTAAAAATGTCTTAGAGAAGGACAGGGAGTAAAATACCATTTGTCAAACTAGAGAATCTGTGGACATTTGACAAAATGTCTATTTTGTAATTGTAAGCAAGAACAAAAAAGTAATATACTGAAATACAGATTTATTTTCTTGTGACAAGTCTACCATTTCTTTTACTTAAAAATATATTCACTACAAAAAGATTAGTAAAAATGATACATTGCATTATTAATATACAGTCAGCATAGAAGTAAAGTAGTCCCCAAAACACATTTTTGTGTTGGTTTTGCCTTTAGGGAGGAAAAAAATCCTTTGTATATAGTGAACATTAAATATAATTTATGACTCTTGGACAGTTTTTCAGAAAGCTGTAATATGTAAGTTATGATTTCTTCTGTAGCTTTGAGTGAATAAAACCTTTTTTGCTTGGCTTTTAGATAACTAGAAAATACTCTTATTTATTTTCATCCTCAGTGTCAGAAATGAGAGGTGAGGGTTATGAGTGTGTCTTAGGATGTCTTCCCTCCACCAAGCCCTGGTGGTCTAGTGAAAGGAAAAATGTTGGACAGTCACAACTCGATTTGAGCTTCTGCTATCAGGAAAGATCCACTTCAAACCTGTGGTGAGAGTAATGAGAGGTAGAATTATTCTAGCATGGTGACAACAGACCACAGTGTAAGAAGAAACACTAAGAGATTAGGTTTCACATATACAACTTAAGAGAGACAGGCTAGAGATTTTGCTCCTATCATCAGGGGACCTAGATGTGTTATGAGATTAGACCAAACAAATTTTGAAACAGATCTCAGACCAGACTGAGCTATGCTATCACACACCTAAAAGAAAAAAAGGCTACAATTCAGTCAGACTCCATTGAATCTTAGATCAGGTTTGACATGAGATTTGGGCCACATATGTTATCCCCACTATGAATTCATTAAGATGATGAATGGCAGACTCTACCCTTGAGTCTGAAAGAAGAAAGAAGAAACCAGTGGGGCATTTCCTTTTGATGTGATTTAGGGGTGTTTGGCCCTGAAGAGGTGTCCCAGCCCACACTGCTTCTCCTTGCATGCACGCGGATTTTCTCCCACATAGATTATATTTTTGACATTTGGCTTTGCTCCCACAGAGATTATATATTTTTTAAATTGTGTAAAAACGTTGGCTTTTCTTTCCAGCATAGAGCATTACGGTAATTGTTTCATGTGCTTGCTGTGCTATCGTTTAATTGGGAAATTTGGATATTTTTAAGTAGTCCAGGGGACATCTCTATTCAAAGAACAATGTACATTGTAATTGTATTCATCATGGTTACTGTGTGTTTTTTAGAACATATGTCAGCAGATTTCAATTTTTTTAATATCCAGCCTAGTTAGCTGAAATGGCATATTGTAAGGGCTGTCCTGAGTCTTCCTATAATTTTAATGGCAGATGTGACTTAAGTAATACTAAAAATTAGTAATAAAATACTCTCTCTAATCATTTAAAAGCTACTGGGTAGATAATAACATGAACATTCTCTGAATTTGAGGAAAGGAATAATATGATAAATCTGTGTTTTATTTTTCAGTAATCTTAGAATTCGTAATAAGAGACTTTATATTATTAAAAAGCTGCTGGGCATATAGCAAAATAACCATTCTTGAATTTGAGAAAAGAAATGATAATGGAAAATTTGCTTTTATTTATTTTTAATGATGTCTATTAGGGTTTAGAATACTTTATCAAAACCATTAAGCTTAATTATCTAACTGCTTTCTAAAATCATTTTATCTTTTTTGAATAGATACTAAATCCAAGAACAGAGTGTCATAAAGATAAAAAATCCAGAGCATCACCTAAAACAGTGAATTCAAGAGAGATTCAGTGAGAGGAAAAAAAAAAACCCAAAGCTCAATTTGAGAAGATAATTAGAATTGAATGAAGTACTAGTGTTAGAAATACTAGTAACTCCTATTTAACTGAGATAATTAAAACCTTTGAGACTTTCATACTATTTACAAAAGTGTCTAGGGGCAAATACAAAGTTAACTTGTATAGGAAAAACTAGCTACAATGTAAAAACCAAATTAATTTGAAATGCTAAAAGAACATAGAATTATTGATCAAAGTATTAGGATCCTATTTGTTAAAAGAGTTTTTGAAATGATATGAAATAATTCTTCTTAGTTGTATTTCTTAATGATAAAATGGTATATTTGTGTCGCATGTATTTATCATGTTGCATGTTTTACTTTATACTTATTGGAATCTTATTTTCATCTTCATATTAGGTACATTTCAAATTTTTGTTAAATTGTGTATATTATTCAATCTTTGAGAATGTTTAATACAGTATGAAGCCAGATGGAGTTGGGGTGAGAGAAGGTACAGGCTTAGAGAACTCTCATATCAAGAAGAATCTCTAGTTGTGACTAGTTCTCTTAAAGGTTTGTTTCTCCATTAAATTAAAGGTTAGGTGCTAGCAGCTGTCTTCCTTAAAGAATCTTCAGGAGATTCTTTCTACTGAGAAATACTGGGAACTCCCAGATCTTTGAGTAAGTATTTTTAGGTCCCTGTCTCCTTCAAATAATTGTGGATGCCTTTCTTCTTTTCATCAGCTTCTATTGAGAGGCACAAATGCATCTAATCTCTTCATCATAATGCCAGTGTTATTTAAGACACTCCTTTGCTACAGACTTTCAGTGGCTCCCTAGATAAGGTCCAAACTCCTTTGAATGGCACACAAGGCTGCAGGGTCACAAATCTTTTCCAGCTCAGTTCCTACCATATCTTCGAAACTCTCTCCATGATTCCTATGTTCTGGCCATCAGGACTCCTCACTCTTTTAAAACACATTATACTATTCCTATCCGCCATGCCAGCTCCTTAAAGGCAGGGACAGTGACTCTTTCATCCCAGTCCGTTCTCATAGATGGGGCACAACTGATATTTATTGCTTTAAAAATGGAAAAAGCAACAAAGTAATTACTTTTTCTAGTGATATTTGAAAAATAAGTGAAAAACTATAGTATGGGTATATAAATAAGATGAGAAATGAAACTACATTCATAATGCACTTCTTTATTTATAAAAATGAAGAAGTGAATCTAATGCTTTAAAAGTGAGGCATTCTCAGAAGTCCATGATACTAGAAAAATGAAGAATTTGTGCTATAAACTTTTCATCATGTTCTACCTTAGCAATGAACTGTATGTTAATACACATCATTACTGACTTTGAACAACCATACAATTCCAGATTCCAGTGTTGCCTTTCTTTTGAATATTGAGAATTTGTTTGTTATTAAAAAATGTCTAAGATCTTACATCTCATTCAAAAAGCTGCATATTATATTTCCGTTTCCTTTCCCGGCAAGTGGCAGCATGACATAGAGAAATAAGTTCTCGTATGGGGCAGGTGCAGGAGTTAGATTCTTTTACTGAATCACCAATCATTTAATTCATGAGAACTCAGTTTTCTTAGTGGTAAAGGAATTTCCTCTTGTATACAATGAAGAAGCTGGAGTATATGATCTCCAAGGTCACTTCCAACTCAAATATTCCATAACTGTATGCCAAGAAAAAATATACTTAAACTGGAAATTATGGCCACTCTCCATTAAAGACGATTGACTTGCATATATTTGGGCTCTCCATGTAGCCATAATTTCACTTTTATTCACACTTTTTACTAATTCTCTAGCTAAAGAAGAAGGAAATAATTTGAATTTTATTACTTGTTTTATATTTCTGATGAAATATTTGAAACGAGTAGAGAAACATCAGACAAATAAAATAC